GTAGGGGTGGGGGGGGAGGCAAACAGGAGAAGTGACCGCGGGTTCGAACGCGGAAGGAAATGACCCTTCACTGGCCCTGGGGCGGCCGCCTAGGGGATTCCCCACACCGCGCTGCCTCCTCTGGACAGTCCAGGCAAGTCCAGGCCCCCTCTGGATGTGGCCTCGTATCCAGACCTGTCACCGACCCTGAGGCAGCCCTGTGAACCGGTCCCATCAAAGCTCCCAGCTTTCAGCTTGTGAAACTGAGGTTAAGGACGGGGACCGCGAATATAAACAAAAACCGGTCTGCGTTTGCTAAGAGCCCATTTATATTTGGGAAGCCGAGTCTCGGAAAGGTCCGATGGCATATCCAAAGTCATGCGGTCTCTAGGAGACAGGGATGCGAGCCCCCTGCGGCCACAAAGCTAAATCCGGGCCCAGCGGAGTGCCCCTCTGCAGGCACCATTGTGCTCAGGTTCAAGTGCTGTGTAGAGTAGCAATGGTGGCATTACTGACCTTTACATCAGAGACTGCGGCAAGTCCTCCCCCGAGCCACCCCTCTTCTAGAGGCCTTGACCCTGAATCACGGGGATGGGGGTGCCCTGCTGGGGGTGGACTCCGGGGTGGGGGTGTCGCGGGAGGAAGGTCAGGGCTTTCCTTAGGTTCCAGGGTAGAAGGGAATTTCTCTTCCCCGTTTCTCTTTCCTGATAGAGTGGCACGCGTGCCCCATTTTACAGATGGGAAAGTGGCCCCCCAAAGTTTGTGGTAAATTGGGGTAGTGCTGGGCTTAGAGCTGGGTTCCCTGCCTGCTTGATGGCTGCTGCCTTCCCTTTCTCCCATCTGGCTCACTGTGGGGATGGGCCTGGGCAGAAGGGGGCAGCCCAGAGGAGACAAGCTGTGACAGCTGGTGGCCCAGGGCCTACCCTAGCCTCAGAGGAGGAGATGGGGAGAGCTGTCCTACGGCGAGAACTGAGCTGCAATGAAGACATGGGCAGGGAAGTTGCAGGCGGTGGGCAGGGTGTCCAGACCCCCACCCTCCCTCCCAGCCACCTGAGGCCTCCGATTTTTGCTCATGGAGGTCCCAGCTGGTGATCCCAACCCTTTCTCTGGGCTCTAGTGCTCACCTGGTCAAATGGAAGCTCAGTTTCCCTGTCTGTAAAGTGGGGGAGATAGTAGCTACTTCTCTGGGTCGGGACCAGAACTAAGTGTCGTGGACCCAGCCTGGGGCCTGCACCCAGTGGGTGTTAGGTGACTTCTCACTGTCTTGGTGGTGACTGGTGATATCTCTGCTGTACCCTGCAGGCTTCCTTTTCCGGATCCTTATCCAAGAGGCCAGCCAGTGCCCAGGAAGTGATTGCTAGCAGTTCTCCGATATGGGCGGAACATGGCTGAGTGGGATTCAGGCAGTTCCTGGGTCTTCCACCTGACCTGAACCCCACCCCGAACCCCAGGTCAGCTGAGCACTGCCGCGCCCTCTCCTGAGCTGCTGCCAAGCAGCAGATGCTGGGCTGGCACAAACTCTGATGGGGCTGGAGTCAGGCAGGGCTGGAGCCATGGCCGGCTGGGGAGAGCAGCCTGCCTCCCCACACAACCCCAAAGGCTGCGGTTGTGGTTAGTTCACCGGGTTCTACCTCACTCAGCGTCCAGATGGGGCTCCCCAAGAGTTAGACACAGATGGGCAACCAAGGGTGCCCACCTGCTGCAGCTGCCTCTTGGGACCAGGGGGAACTAAACGCTGGGAACCCCACGTGCTCAGCACCCCTTCCTTCACCTCTCCACTTTTTCAGCAGTCATGTTGCTGTGTGATTTTTGGCAGGTTGCCTGATCTTTCTGACCTCCGTTTGCTGCTCTGCAAAGTGACACTAATATTAGCACCCGACGTCCTGGCTTGCTGTGAAGATCAAATGCAACAACACGTGTAAAGTGGTTCACTGAGGGCCTGGCCCATGGTCCCTCCTCAGGCTTGTCCCAAGGAACTGGTGGACTTACCCTGTGGAGCACCCCGTCCAGATGGGAGGCAGAGGAGGACATAGGATGATTGAGGCCTCGAAGGCCAAGTTTGGGAGTCGGAGCTTGATCTGAAGGAAGAGAAGTTGGGACTGAGCAGGTGGGATCTGCCTGGCAGCCGGTTGCTTTCTTTAAACGCCACCAAGGCCAGACTTCCATCCAGTGTCGCCTACTTAGCTCCTGCTCACACACCTCCAGGACAGGGAGTCCTGCTGGACAGCCTATCAATGGGCCGCTCAGTCGTCACCGTGTTGGTGTTTTTGTAGCTACGCTACCGGTCCCGTATGCATCTATCAGTGCAAACAGGAGACGCATCTTTTCCTGTGTCCTCAGGAGTACCATCCCGAGGTGAGAAAACTCTTTCAGGCACCAAGTCAGGCTCAAGGCCTCCCGGGAGGTTTCACCTCAGGTCAGAATGAAACGGAAGGGTCCCAGGGAGGAGCGGGTGGCCCAGGCGGGCAATGATGCGCATGTCCTGTGTGACCTTGGACAAGTTGCTAACTGTGGAACTGGAGTGAGAAGGATGGTGGCACCCCAGACCCCGATTTAGTTTCCACTACTCGTTGCTGAATACCCATCGTGGGCCAGTGCTTCATCTCATGTGGGAAATCAGGGTAAAGACAGCCACAGACAGCATTCCAGTGAGGTGTCTTTATTCTCAATTATTAAGAAACGGAGGCTCAGAGAAGTTCGGTAACTGGTCCAAGACACCCAGCTTTGGAACCAGGAATTAAACCCGGGTCTCCAGACTCCCAATCCAGATCTCAGTGCGAGGATGTGGCTGTCCTCACTCCGTGCCCCTGCCAGCACCCCTGTGGGCCCCCAGGAGTCAGGAAGTTCCCTCATCAGCCCCTATTGCGGCCCTGCCTTTTGGGGCAGAACCCTGGGTTCCCCAGTTCTTCTGCCCAGCCGCCCGTGCTCCCTAGGGGAACTGGGCTCAGACCATGCCAGCGATGGGCCACCTCCTGGAAGGGCTGTAGGAGAGGAGAGCAAATGCTGCTGGGCGTCAGCTGTAGGGCGTTTGTGGGCCAAAAGCCAACATTGGGTGCTTGGGAAACACTTATAAGGGGGCAGGTGGCGCGTCCCTTGCTCTGAAGAATAGCTGAAGTGTTAAATGGGATTAATGAGGGCTTTCCAGGACTGGGCCGGGTGCCAGGGACTTTACTTGAATTATCTCCTTCTTGCGGCCATCCACGAAGAGGGGACGCTCATGGCCTGTCTTTTACGAAAGAGGGACTGAGGCTCGGAGGGACTGTGGCTTGGGCATAGTCACACGGCTAACAGATGGGGAAGGACAGGACACAGCAGCCACGTCCACCCAAGTCCTCAGGCTCCAAGGCCCTCATGCATGGCCAGCAACTGGCTTGGCTGGTGTTCTGTTCTCACTGTGGCACTCGGAGCGACCAGTGCAGGGGAAGCAGGTGTTGGTGAGGCCCCATGTGCCCCAGCTGCCACATCAGAGGCTTTCGGCTCTGAGTCTGGTCAGTGAGAACTGAGGCTGAGGGCCTGGAGGCTCCCAGCAGCCCCAAGGGAGAGAGGGGATGTTAGGTGAGAAAACTCGAGACTGGGTGAAGCAGGCAGGGCAGGATCAGAAGCGTCTCCACACTTGAAGTATGCTGTGTCATGCACCGTGAAACCACAGCTCTCTGCAGCGCCCAGGCTGCTGGGAACCCGAGGGCTTGTCCCTGTGAGTCCCCCGTTGTAACCATGTGAAGGTTAAACCCGACGTCCCCTTTTCTTGATGATTCAGAGTTAGTGGTATGGGCTTTGGTTAGGCCCATGATGTCATAACGTGTCATCTTCACGTTCACAACGGCTACAGAGACAAGCCCAGGGCGAGAGAGCAGCAGACTAATTAGAGGAGGGTCTGCCACGAGGGAGCTGGGTGGCCTTGGGCAAGTCATTTTCCTCAGGCCGGCAGGCTCAGCTTCTCATCTGTAACTCTGGGCAGTCATTTTGCCACTTCAGGGGAGTTTTGAGATGATGACACTGGGAACCTGAATGGATAGGGGTTGGGGTCGGTATGATTACTGATATTGTCGTCCTCATGTGGAAGTTGGTTTGAGTGAAGGGACAGATGGAGCACCCAGTGATGGGAGACAATG